CCAAAAGATTGCTTCTAAGAGCAGCTGAACTTTTGCCTATCTTGGATATGTAGTTTGAGAGGCAAGTATCTTAGATTTTTTTTTCCCCAAAAGAACAAATAATTCCAGTATCCTAGCAACAGATACATAGCTGATTACAAATATCAGACTTCCTATCATAGCTATTATGAAATTAATTAATTCTGTCTTCAAAGTAATTACCAAGCTGACATAGATTTGGAAGAAATATCAGGTGCAAATGCAACTGGAGCATCCTCCAAACACTGGGTATACAGCAGTGGAAAAAGGAGTTTTTTTAAAAAAATCTCAGATCAGTAACAATGGTACTGCTTTTTAAAAAAAAAAAAAAAGTACCTACAAATGAAGCTCATTTTTCTTTCAAGGCCTCTCTTGACAGTTTGACAGGGAGACAGCAGTATATTTGAGAAGACCCTAAAGCACTGGCATTAGTAATATACGTGAATGCCAGGGAAGATGTGAAGTTATCTTGGAGAATACACTACTGAGGAGTGCGCTCTCTGCAGAAGTGCAAAATCTGACAGGTCTTTTGGTAGATGTTTTACTTTCAGAGGCAGATTATTATTAGCTACTGCTGTGGTCACATAAGATCTTTCCATAGTGTATTAGGATGCATACCATTTATAAGAGGGAAAAGAAAAAAAAAAGAAAAAAAAAACCAAAACAAATAAAAAAAACTCCAGTAAGACAGAAAAAAATCATAGGCAGAAAAAGGCAGAAGACAGTTGCCTTTAGCCAGTACCATCTCTAGCTAGAGAACATTGAGTTGAAGGTGGAAAACACCTCCTTGCAGTGATTACTCCAAATCTGTTTGTACTCTTTCTTCATTTTTTTTCTCACTGAGAAGTGGTGGCATGTGTTTATTTTGATATCTTCCCTCCTCTTCCTATGGATCAGATAGGATGCTGCTTTTCACTTATACTTGAGTTTGATATCTGAGATTAATCATGTAGCATATAATATAATGACAGGATCATCACATTTGCAGGTCAGATTTAACTCTGTGCATCTTTTCTCTGCCCTATATATACAGGAAAAGTACTGTATGCTCTATGTGCTGCATACTCACCTCTATACCTTCTGTAGAAACTAAAAGCACATTCATGCTCTTCTCCCTTTTTCCTTGAGATTTGTCCTCCCTGAACTGGCTGCAGGCTAAGCTAGTAATTTGAAATTTGCATCCATATTATCTGTTGTGTTCCCTATCCATATGCACAGTCTCCCAGAGCCCAGGGCAAAGATGCCGTTATGCTCAGTCACTAGCAAACCCAGGTGCACTCGAGGGATCTAACAGAATGTTAATAACAGGTCTGATGAAGAACGAAAAATAAACAAACCTGCTATTGCACCTGTAAGAATTGCTGCCACCAGGAAATTAAAAAATTACACGTAGCATATGCTGCCTGCCTACACCCAGCATGGCTCCTCGGCTCTGAAATCACGTCCGCCAGGTCCATGCAGGTTTTGCAAGATTTGGTGAGTTTACAAAAATGGTGTGTTCTTCCATGCATCACTGAGCTGACTACATACCTGATGGATTTTTTCTACTTTCAAATGAACCCCCCCCAAAGAATCATGTAACTCTGTATATAATCTCCTTCTTGAAAGGTGCCGTTTAATTTTGTTAAAAATGTTAAAATGAAAAAATAAAATAAAGGGGGGGTGGGACGTGGTTCATCAGCTTCATCACAGATAGATGCCTCAAAGCTCTAAGCTATTTTGAAAGAAATGCAAATAATCTGGGGGGTATGAATCTGTTTACCTGGTTTCAAAATTTAGTGGTATAAGAGGAAAAATGGACAAAACAGGAAAAAAAGTCACAGAAAACAGCTGCTGTAGAAATAGGAAACTGTGTATCCTGCTGCATTGCTCACATAAGAACTGGATCAACCTAAGAATCCAGGACAAAAAGGTCATCCATCCATCAGAGATTTGATGACGCTGTTCCCAAGGCATGCAGAAGGATTTCTGTCTGTGTGTCTGAGCACGGAATGGGGCTCAAATGTGGAGGGTTGCTAGTTAGGATCGGTACAGTCAGACAGCCCAACACATTATAAAATGTCATCCGATTCTTGTTTGAAACCTTCCGAGTATCTTTACTATTTGCAGTGGGGTGCTGAATAGTTGAAGCCATTTAGCTTGGGAAATATCCCTACTTTGTTTTAGGAACGGAATCTTAGCTGATTTTAAACCACTGGAAAGCAAAGTTTTCTCTCATTTGCACTCTTTCTGTGAAATTTTGTGTGCCAAAACTATTATTTTCTTGCACATTTTAAAGATCTGAGGTTTGAATAGCGCCAAGGAAGCAGCAGCAGATTCAGCAATTGGCCTTGCTTGAAACTTTGTGGGACCTGTCCTTCCTCTGGAACCCAGGGTCGATCACTAGCTTCTCATCCCATCTGATCCCACCCTCTCCTTGGAGGATACTCCATAGGACAAGGAGCCCTGAAGAGATGCAGATATTGAAGATCTAGCAGAACCACCTGCCTGGGTGCAGCATGTTTCTTTGCCTACCTATTTTGCTCCTCTGGAGGCACTATGTGAGCAAGGTCCCCCTCCTTTGCAACAGGAAAAGGCTCATTCGTTAGACAGGAGACTTATGTTACTGCCAACTAATGGAGTTAGTCGTGTGTCAAACAGGAAATGTCTAGGATAAAAGTTCAGAGTTCACTTGATAATTGCGTATGGCAGGAAAAGGCGGATGGGGAAGCAAGAGTTTCTGTAGCTATATAGAATAAAAATTGTTGATATGCTTTACTTGTAAAGGGTATGGAACAGTGTACATAAGCTATTATTTAAAAGATGTTATTTGGGGTACACAAGAGCTCAGGAAAGGTCCCATTTATGGTCATTCGTGTGACTTTTCACCTAAATGCATAGCATGAGTGCATTGCACCAGATTTTCAACAACTTTGGAATAAATGGAGAGAATAATCTTGAAGAAATTGAGATTAGTCTTGCAGGAGGTAATTCAAACATCTTTTGGGCAAGGCTATAAAGGCAACAAAACAAGATGATGATTTTTCCTCCACACTGTTTTGTCTCTATTCAGTTGGTACCACTGTGACTCGTATAGGTCTATGTCCTGTCCCCCTGAAGAACCATCAGCTATTGAACTGGATGGATTTGAATGCCCATTATTATTATGTGGACTCGAGCACCCTCTAATGGTCTAATGCACTTGTTCACAGTCCGTTCCTTGTATCGTTTGTTATAAACAAGATGACTGCATTTGTGGTAACGTGAGACAAATTTTGCTGCATAGGATCACTGTTCGCAGGCCCAAGCAGCTCGTGTGATAGTTACAAGGCTCTCTATGGCCTGTCTCTGGAGCAGCTCTTTTTTTTTCTCTCCGCTCTAATTTGCTGTTTCATTTTCTCTTTCTTTTTTTCTTCTGAAAAAGCTTCATCTAACAATTCTGTAGGGGTTTGGATGCAGCATTTGTGATCCCAAGTCCACTGCTCTGGTTAGACTTAGTGTGCGCTGCAAGATTTCTCGTTACCGCAAACTGTGTGTGTGTGATGGCCCTAGGACCTGATGGAGATAAGGAGGATTGCTACATTTTCCTGGAATAAATGACAAAATGGGCAAGCTGTGAGCCCTTCTGCAGGTCACTAGGGAAGGTGAGCAGGTCTTTGGTTCTCTTTTGCTTATCACGTATGTAGATATACAAGAATCTGTGACCTTAAATGATAAGTAAAACTATGTACCCACATATAAATATATCTGACAGTACAAAAAAAAATGCATCTTTATTTTACATGTACCAAGTCAAAAATAGTTTGAAAAGCTAGATCTTCACAAGGTTTGGCTCATTGCTGTTTGTCGTTGCTTTTCGATAGCTCTCTATTTTGGGGCTTCTCCATATTTCAAGTTTAAGCAGGATTTTTGAAGTTAACAGTGAAAGTAACTTACACAAACTCTGATTTTCTGGATTAGAATATAATTTCAGAATGCCTTCTGTAGCTCGTGTACAGTTTCATATTGAATTTTGGGAATACAAACTGCATTTTCCAGTTGTGACGTTTGTCATAAAACGTCACAATTGTTTCCAAGGCTTGTTGTTTCCAAGGCTTTTTTGAAAGGATGATATATTTAAATATTTTCTGCTACATGCAACTTTTCGGAGCTTTTTGGACAGCACTTTGGTGAAATGGACATAAGTCTTTCGGACTTCTACAACAGGTGAATTGTAAGAGTTGGCACCAGTTTCCTGATGTAGCCAGGCTATTTTGGGATTGATGGCAATGAGAGCAGCATCTTAGCTGATTATCAGCCTAGTCTTTCTAGCCCCTTGCAGGGTGCATTTCCTTCTTGGCTTATGCACTTGTGTGTGGCGCACATTAGCAGAGAACTGTTCAGGTCAGAATCAACTGGCAATTTAGAGATGTGGTGGCCAGAGCTGCGAGGGGGGTACACTGTGGTGTTTTGTTTTTTGGTTTTTTTTTTTTGTTTTTTTTTTGTTTTTTTTTGTTTTGTTTTGTTTTGGGGGGGTGCTAAGCAGTTGCACTTAGGCATCTCGCCCCTCTGCTGAGCTCGTGCTTATGTGACTGAGTCTCCCTTGGCTCCCCATGAACCAGAAGGCTTTGAACAGCAGCCACGTGGAGCACGCGGGGAAACCGCTCCGATCCTCCTGACCTCTGCTATTTGATGCAGAAATTGGGAGGGGGACCTCACAACAGGGACACCCTCTGCAACTGGCACATTTCTCTGGACCTGGTTAAATTGGCTTTTATGCCCTTTTATTTATTACAATTTTTAAGTTATTTTTGCAAGTTCTCAAATGCATTGCTTTAAAAAGACCAGGACCCAGACAAAATGCAGGGCTTGCAGTTTGAACCAGGATGATACCTTCCTCTCTGTTTTCTACCAGTCAGAGCTGGACTGAGGCATTTGTCTCACATCCCTTCCGGACCCCTCTTTCAATGAGGAAGAAATATAAAAAACGGATCCTACTTTTTTTTTTTTTTTTCCTCCTCCAGTGACTCTGAGCAACCCCGTGGAAAAAGGTACGTGAGTTTTATTTGGCATTTACTCTTTATCTGATGATACTCGTGTTTAGAATAAAATAAATGCCTTTTAAGAAGCATCTCTGTATTTTTGCTTCTCTGCAGCTGCTCATGGGGGAGATATGAAAGGGCACTGTCTCTGTGTGCCTAAACACTGGCCCTGCCGGTTCAGGAACAGAATAAAGTGTAAATGCTTGGAAAAAAGTCGTCTTTCCCCCAGTCCTTTTAAACTGACTCACTCCTTCAGGGTTTCCTCCCAGGAGCTGCAGGTTATCACAAAGTATGCGGCGTGTATTGCTAGGAATGCGTTGGGGTGTGTCGGGAATTCCCCCTGCCTAATCTCAGTAATGTCACTGAACGGCAGTGACCTGTTCAGCACTTCCCCCATACCCTCTGTGTGTTTATCTGTTTGTGCCCACAGACCTTTCCTCTCTGTTTTGATGTTCCAGAGCTGTTTTTATAAGATGAACTGGTAACACCGATTCCCCTTTGTGATCCATGTGCTCTTAGTGCTTTCAGTGAAAGCAGTTTAAAGTTGTTGTCCCATGGAGGCCAGCACTAGCTGAGACGAGACACTGAAGATCCTCCAGGTTGCTGTGGGAGGGGAGTTCTCTTTGCACAAGAGAGCTGTCCTGGTGCATGAAATTCTTACAGAGAAGTTATAGAAAGGATGTTGTTAATGATTGTTTAGCAGAAAAAATAGAGAAGTTACTTGCCAAATCTGTTGTGCCTGTCCAGGTCAGCTTCCTCTGACATGCTGCTGGATTGTGTCAACAGAAATAAACCTGTTGCAAGATTTCTCTCCTTAAATAACAGTTTAAAACTGACTGAGCTATGCCTACACTTAGTAGGAGGATAATAGTGAATTATTATTGATTCATGTGATCAATCCCGCAATCTGCCGTGATGTTGTGGGCTCGGATCATTTGCCATGTCACTAGAAAGTGTCAAACTTACGTTTGGCCTTTATGCCAGGTGAACTTTCTCCCAGTCTGCCTGATTTTGGACTTTTTTCCAACAGGAGTAATTGTTTTAATCTGAGATTGCTAGAATTTGAACTATAACTGAAATAGGAAAAATCTGATTATTCTTGTGGTTAAACAATGTATTTAAATAGTACCATTTTACATTTGTATGATAATGCTTAATTGAGTCTTGAGTATTAAGAAAATAACAGATTTTAGCCAAAGGAGAATTGTCCTTTGGCTTTCTGAGTCATTGAATGCTTTGCTCATGCCCAAAGTCTTTGAAGTAAAGTTTGCTCTGAGGCATGCTGCAGTTCATGTGATAATGTTGCATCTAGGGGATTACTGTTCTTTCTTTTCAGGAATTGCAAGATTTTACTTGCAATTGTGAGTTTTTTATTATTTATTTATGTGAGTTTTGGCAAATCTAAAAGATGTTTAGCAAGAGATATGTTTTTTCCTATCTACTTTAAAGATCTGCTAGAACACTTTACTTTTGAAAGACTCCTGAGTGGTGATGAACGTAGTGTAAATAATATACTCTTCGGTATTGTTTTTACTGTCATTATGAAAGTTTGGAATTATGCTTATCATGAGTGAACTTTGGTTAAGAAGTCGGTGTTTTCTTCCTTTATTTATTTTTTAGTGGCCTATCTTACAATATTCCACATTTTGTTCGTGCTCTTCGTGTGGACATATTGGAAGTCTATTTTTACTCTTCCAGTGCAGCCAGATAAAAAGGTAGGAGTCCAAGCACTTTTCGTACATTGCAAAGTGGAAGCTAAAGAAAAAAATGAAAAATCCGGTAGTTTCGGACAACTGATCTATTTCCCGAAGAGACAGAAAGTGACCTAGAGCTCACTGGAAAAGAGAGCAACTTACCATTTGGAGAATCCTCTGACTCCCCAAAGAGTGTGATTTAAATCGGCCACGGCGCTGACTTCTGGAGCAGCCTTTTCAGGTGTTCCAGGAGAAAATTGGATTTTTCGGGTTGCACATAATGGGATTTATGATTATTAATTATTTACAGTGTCTTTGACCTCCAAGCATTTAACACATTGTGAGCCAATCCTGACCTTATTCAGCCTAATCTTATTGCACTCTTTTGAGTAAGGACCTCAGTTTTGGGGTTTCCTTCTTTATCGAAGGTGTTGCAGCATAGAGAGAAACAGATGCATCTGTAGTGGTAGAGGCTTTGTCACCTCCTGAGCCAGCTGTCCCTCGCATCGCTGTGGCACACACACATCTGGTTTCTCTGGAACTCTAGTGTTGCCTGTCCTGTTGGGAGCCCTTTGTAGGTTTGAGTAGGTGCTTTCGTAGTAGCTAAGCTTGTTTAATTTGTTATTTTTTTTCTTTGTGATAGTGAGGGATAGAGGAATTCTTTTTATTTTGAACATGCTGAGATTCTGACACCGAGTGCTTCAGGGAGTGAAGACTGTGGCTGTGTGCGTAGCATGCAGTGTTTAACTGGGGGTGTGTGCCCACCTGTGCTCCTGCACTTTTCTGGTCACAAACATCATAAAAGAAAATACCCCAGTGAAGAGAAACTGCAGCAAACTGTGACACTGTTTCACTGTGATGGAAAATAGACTGTGTCGCTTCTATTACGAAAGTTTTAGAAATAGGAAATGACAGCTGGAAACAGATTCTTGCTTGCAAGTAAAATTCTTAAAATGAATAATGTTTCAGGTATGTTATTCGTGAAAAATATACATGAAAAATACTGTTGTGCAAAGCAACACCAGTAGTAGCAAATCTACTATGTTTGTGATCTCAGATTCACTTTTGCATTTCTTGTTGATGTATTCACAGAATCACAGAACGGCTGAGGCTGGAAGGCACCTCTAGAGATCATCTTGTCCAACTCCCCTGCTCAGGCAGGGACACCTAATGTGCTTATATACTACCTCCTGAAGGCTTTCTGCTTCAATTAAAGACAAGAAAAATGCCTTTTCATATTTCAATACCAAATTTCAATAAATATTTTTTCAGAACAACTCATACAAGTCTGAACTAATTCATCTAGTTTTTCTTTTCCGCTATACCTAAACACTAAGAGTAAAAAGGCACCTAAAGACAAATTTAACAGCTAGTCAGGCATTGCATTCTGTCTGTCCAGTACCTGATATCTCTCCTAATATCTTCTTAAACACCTTTTTCGTATCAGATTATCCTTGAATTATCTAAGGAGTGGGCAATAGAAGTGTTTCCAAATAGAATATTTGAACTATTCTCGCTGCTACATGAGTAACTGGTCTCTCATAACTTCTGTTCCTAGTTCCATATGTCCTATGCTGACAAAGAGCGCTATGAAAATGAAGAAAGGCCGGAGGTGCAGAGGCAAATTCTTGCCGAAATCGCAAAGAAGTTGCCAGTGTACACGAGGACGGGGAATGGAGGTCAGCTGAGCTAAGGACTTTGTTTCTCTTAATCTAATCAAGCAGGCTAAGTGGCGTATTTGGTGATGCAGATTATGCTTCAGATCTGCATTGTCTTCCCAGTGCCACTGTATGTGCTGGAGAGCACTCATGCTAAGACTTTTAGTGCTTTTTCTCTCTTTATATTTGGGAAAATGTAAATATATTTGAGAAAAGCACGAAGCTTTGAATGCTTCAGTTCGGTGGAGTACCAGCTGCTGGCTTTGAGCAGCAATATGTCACCCTTTGTATTTAGGATGTATTTACTGTGTGTTTACCTTGTCTGAATTTGGTAATATAATAGCCAAATTCTACAGTAATTTTTACTTAAGATGGAATTTAGCTTAGAGGTGCAGAACATAATTCCCTAAATAGATTTTTTTTTTTTTTTGGACCTTGTTCTGTGGTTGAATGCATACTGACCTCCTTTCAAAGCTTAAAGGCAATCCATGTTCAGAGTGGAGCTCCTGACCTGTTCACTTCTATTAAAAAAGCCAAAGGATTCTGAAGCAAAGAACTGCTATATAGACAATTACAAAAATGGAGTGTATTTGAAGTGTGAGTAAAGGTGGAAGTCAGAGGGAAGCATACAGTTTTGTTTTATGATGTTTAAGCTGATTGTGTACTTCAAAGGGAGGATTGGCTCCCTCATCCATGAGTTCTTAGTGGAATTATGGGCATTGCTTATCTGATTTTGACCTGCCAGCAAAGCTGCAGTGCCACCCATCTTTTAAAGAGATAGAGATATAAACACTTATTAAATGTGCAGAATAATAACTAGCAAGCAAGGAAAGAACACTTTACTCAGTGTTAATATTTCTTTAATTTCAGGTATTCGATTCTGTGATAGATGCCAGCTAATAAAACCTGATCGTTGCCACCATTGTTCCGTTTGTGCTGTGTAAGTTACTGGATTGTTTTCAGTGAAGCAAATAGAACACGTGAATGGCTGGTCTTTCAGGTATCTTTCCACACGTGGAGGTACCAAGTAACTGCTGCTGTAACAGCCACCATAGTATGAACCTGGGTGACAGCATTAACATTTGCTTTTCTGCTGTTTGTAGCCCTGCAGTGTTTGCAGTTTCCGCACCTACAGATATGAGAGCGTGAAGCTGATAGAAAGTGTGTCATCTAGTGAAAGATTAACCAGCTGCTCTTATGCTCTTAGCAGGTTAAAAATGGTTTTCTGTTTTTGTTCTTGTTTAAATATTCCAGGCCTTACCCTTTACCTGCGATGTTTTTCGGGATTTAAGCCCTCCAGGGTAGGAATCATCATGTTCTTTTTTATCTTCCAGAGTACCAAAGACATTGGTAGATCTTAAAAAATAAGAGGTATCTTAAAATGCCTACCTTAAGGAATTCAAAGAGATATCCTCTTAAACTTTATATTATTATAGAAATTTGCCCAAAATACCAGAGGCTTTTGCTGTTGACATGCAGTTGGCAATTAAATACCAAATACAAGTTTTCCCTTTTTGTTTTTTGTCCTTTTGCAGATGTGTGCTAAAAATGGATCATCACTGTCCATGGTATGTCCTAGATACTGGTTTGTAACCCTCTGAAAATAGAGGCTGCTTAAATGGCTTTTCTCCATAGAATAATGTCAATATGTCTCTTTCATTTTAGACTGCATATCTCTTCATGTTAGGAAATTTATAAATAAGTATACTTTGAAATTGCCTGAAATATTTGATGTTTTTGAGAGACAGTTAATTCATATATTTGTTCCATTAGCTATGCATAAAAAGCTGTTGTATTGACATAATTTAAAACACAAATACTAATTTGGTCTTTGATTATTATTCAAATTTTAAAGGGAGCTCAACTTAGCCTTTAGGTTCAGATATATAATCATTGGAGCATGCAGTTAGTGTTTGCTTTCAACACTAGTATTTGCATGTGGTTTGTTTCTAAAATGATGCCTGCCACTTGTGCATGTTAAGTAGAATAGTGCATGGATGATAATTACTGCTACTGAATTTCTTAAACTCCTCCTTTTCTTAAAAGGAAGATTTCAGAAATCAAAAGCAACACAGACATGTGCCTACCTGAACCTCCCTAGTATTCCTAAACTTAGAAGGATTTTGAAACCTGAATTCTGAGGCAAATGTTGTGCCTACTAATTTTTCTGCATTCCTTTGTACCTCTTTGGAGTTGCTCTGTGTGTGGCGATGGATGTGATGTGTATATACAGATGGATGTGTTGTGTGTATATAAGCAACTCCATGTACTGCAATGGTGAATCTGACTCCTGAGTTCTCCAAAGAGTAGATATAAAACAGAAATCCTAAATCTGATTACTTTTACAGACAGAGAGAGGCATGAGTAATTAAAGCTTGCAGCAGTGACACATTTACTAGTGCTGCAAATATGAACTGTGTTTTAACTTGGCATTACAAGCCATCAGGTGAAAAGCAAAAAAGTAAAGTTGACTTACACTTCATTTTGACCACTAAGAGGAGCTATTTAATGAAGAAAATGAGCTGTATCTTTTTTAAGTTATTCATTGTCTTTGTAACTGTGTGCTGTACATATCCTGATTTCAACTTTGCTTTTATTCTCTAGGGTGAATAACTGCATTGGATTTTCTAACTACAAATTCTTTCTACTGTTCTTAGCCTATTCTTTGTTGTATTGCTTGTATATTGCTGCAACAGTCTTCAAGTATTTCATTAAGTATTGGACAGTAAGTTGTGGAATCTGGTTACTTTTTGGTATCTTGTGAGTCTTGGTGGGGGTTAGTCACTCTCTCATTACTCTTTTTTATACTTTCAATCCATTGAGGGCTTTCTCCTATAACATTTTTTTCTTGAGCCCATATATGAGTGTAACTCCCATTATGTTTGATATCCAGACTGAGGAGTAAGTAGACTTCAGGAATCTAGCTCCTGGCAGAGAAATTAGTTACATCCTTTTCTTGTACAGACCTATTAGAATGGTATGTATATCAAAAAAAATTGAAACTAATCACAAACTTCTTAATATGGAAAAATCAGATGTATTTCAAAAGGAGGCACACCTTGCTGAAAGAGAGCTTTGTTTTACATGTGGTTAATTTTCCCAACTTCAAATACAGCAGTTATTAGCTGACCATATCTCCTCACTTAAAAGAATAAAAGCCTACTGATTAAGGAAATAATTGTCTTCTAAGTTGAAGTTCTCAGCTGTCAATATTTGCCACTTTTAAAGTGGTTGCAAGAATGCCACCTATGTGTTTCAGTCATATTGCAGGAAAACATTAATTGTGGGTGGGTGGTGTTCTTTAAGTGGTTTCCTGAAAATGCCCAGGCATATTTTTCTTTTTTCCCCGGCTTTCTCTATACTGTTATCTTTGGATTAGGTTTCTTGTGCTTTGGGAAAGAGCAGACCCCAGGGTACTACCATATTGTTACTGTACACAATGGTCTCCAAAAGCTTATTTTCTTGTAGAATCTGTGTTCCCTTCTCTGCTCTGATATCAAAGAATAACATGCTGTCACTGGTTTGTACATATTGACACAACAATGTCATTAAATATATATATATATCTTGTTCACTTTATAATCCTCATATGGCAGCTGTTTAATATAAAAGCTGACCAAAATACAGCATGCTGCTTATTAATTTTCCAGTTAATTTATATGCAAGCAATGCCAACTGACAGTTCCAATATGAGACTGGATCTTGCGTCTCTAGGTTTTTATGTCTGCTTTGCTACTAACTCTGTATGACTATGTTTAAGTAACGTAACTTTGCTGTGCATTAGTTCATTAATTTCTCTCTCTTTTAATGCCTCATCACTTAAGTAAGATGCCTCCTGAGATACTTTTGGGATACTACCAGGGATTTTCTTCCTATAAAGAAAGGCACAAGGGCTCTATCCGTGTGCTTACACACAGAGCACAAGGGCTAGGAAGTACCTTTTTGGTTTGAGGTTCCCACACAGTCCGCCTGTAGATATTTGCTTACAAGGACCTCTGGGACTTGCCTGTCCTACTGCAAAATGGAAAGACCTCTAAGAATTTGTTTGGCTTTTATTCCTCTCCAAAGCAGCTGTTTTCAGCTCTACAGTCACCTGTCTTGCTAGTTCTATAGCTACGGAGGTCAGGCTTTCTTAGCATCCCTTATACTGGAAGAGGAGAAGCTATATATCCTTGTATAAATCTGTTGAATGGGTGTATCTCAATCATTTGAAAATAATCACACGCTTCTAAATTTGAAAAATTTTTATGTTGCCATTCTAAAGATGACACACCTCACTGAAAAGAGCACTATTTTAATGTATATACAGGAAAGTGTGAGGATTAAAGGAAGCTCAGCAGAATGTAATAGGGTTTCAAAAAACTTGTACTTGCCAGTTTCACTGTGAGTATAGGATGTGCTTCCTGGGTCCAGGTGGGAAGCTGTGATCATACTGGCTCTGTTCCATGCAAAAAAAAACATAGCAAATCCCTGCTTTTTCTGCTTGAGATACAACAGGGAGAATGAACCAGGTTATTTCTTTTTCTTTTCCCACTTTTTGCAGTAAAAAATATTTTTTGTGTGTGTGTATGCAAGTTTGAAAACTCGAAGTAGGAATTTTAGAGGATATCTTTGTTTTTCTGGAGTATTTTCTGCTTTTATTTGTCCTTCTCACTTGTTCTGTGTTGCTTCTCGTTGCAGGGTGAGCTGACTAATGGACGCTCCAAATTCCATGTCCTTTTCCTTCTCTTTGTGGCGGTCATGTTCTTCGTAAGCCTGATGTTCCTCTTTGGCTATCACTGTTGGCTTGTGAGCAGAAACAGATCTACTTTAGGTAAGACTGAGTGTCCATGTCCAATAAAGCAGTGGTGTAAGAAAACAGAAATTTGTGCTCTACTTTTAGATATTACAGCTGGCTTATGAGGGCAGGGAGAATTAAAAGATTTTTGCACGACGCTGTAGGAATTTGTCACCTTGAGAGAGGCCTTTATCAGCTGATGAGATGAAAGCTTTGTTAGGGAAACTGGAGCCTTAAAGTGTAAGTGCCCAGTTATACTCATGTGCATAAGTGTAACTGCACTTGCTGTGAAATCAGTGCATGCTTTAGCAATATGCTTGTTCACACTCGTGTGCTGGAGTGCATCCTAAAACAGCTCAGAAAGGCTGGGAAAAACAGTGTCCTCCTTCACTGGTGAAGGCAAAGAAGTTAGGTGAGTAAAACAGGCCCATGAGCTGGAAATCTGAAAAGCTGTGAACCTGGGGGAGTGATTTCTATTTCCTTCCTCAGATAGAAGTTATTTAACTTTTAAAGCTTGGTTGAGTGAAGTGTTGTGACAAAGTGCACAGTATTGAGAGTTTGAGCGAATATGCAGATTTTGTGAAATTATTAACTTTAAAACTCATTTTAAGGGGCACTGGAGCTCATCTAGCCCAAAACATCAGACCTCTGCAGCAGCTTAGAAGGTAGATAAAACTTTCTAGTGCACTTGAGGTTCTCCTCCCCTCTCTTTCTTTTCTTAATTTTATTTTTTCACCGTAACAGAGGGTCTATCTGCATATGTTTATTCCTAATGCTTATTCATTATATTACTAATGAATGAGGCAATTTAAATCTCCAGTGCCACTTCAGAAATGTGCTTTGAAGACGGACCTATTTATTTTGCAGATTTTTGATTTAGAAATTGGTAGTGTCACTGTGTTCCCACAGAGTTTTAACACCAGTCTACATAAAGTTTGTTAAACTCTCTTCTGCAGATTGGAGAGAAAAAGAAAGTGCTTTTAGTTGGGTTTATGGTTACTCCATATGGTTCATTTGCAAGAATAATTCCTGCTTTTCATTTGAAAGTTGCATAAGTATTTACAGGCTTTCAAGAGCCTATTACTTTTATACTTGGTATCTTTGTAATGCTGACTAACAGTACAGTAGATCATTTGTGCATGTACAATCTGAGGATGTACAATCCTGTTTTGGTGTATTTGACAGTAATTTCCTTTTTTTCACTGAAATTGCATCTATCTTTAGAGGCTTTCTCAGCTCCAGTGTTTCAAAATGGCCCAGATAAAAATGGATTCAATCTAGGCTTCGTAAAGAACCTTCAGCAGGTGTTTGGAGAAGAAAAAAAGCTCTGGTTACTACCTGTTGTCTCTAGGTAAGCAATAATCAAGTCAGTGCTAAAAGCTGCTACTATTAACTGAAGAGTCTGACTTCTAGATGGAGACTGCAGCTGTATGTGCCACATCTGTGCCTGCATGCTTAGCTAACTGCTCTCAGGCATCGCTGCAAGCTCACCAGCAAATGCAGGGTGAATTTATACTCAAACGCTTGTTCGACATTCACTGGCTCTCTAAGATTGGGGCCATTTTCTGTTGGGCATAGTTCAAGTACATAAGTAAAATCTGTGGTATAAATAGGTAAAACAGATATAATGGATCTTCTGCAAATATGTTTTTTTCAACCTCCGGCCTTTCTAATTGTCCTTAATTAGTCTTTTGTCCCATTGTTTCAAAATAACTTGACTGAGGCATGTTGATTTCTGCTAAAAAAAAAAAAAAAAAAAAAAAAAAAAAAGTAGCCTGTATTTTAATTTCTAGTCTCCAAACAGTTTGCAGGAATTCAGGATCAAAACTACATGGTATCTGAGCTGTCACAAAAAATAAACTCAATATTTCTCAAATCTTAAAAATATTTTAAAGTAAACATAGGAAATATAGGTGACAAAACTATGCAGATGAAGGCTAAAACAAGTGTCCAAGCTGATTCTTCTGAATCTTCATTCTTCAGAACCACTTGCTGCTTTTTACAGTGTTTTTCTCTGCTTTTTCCACGCAGCCAGGGAGATGGACACTTCTTCCCGATGAGAGCTTTGTGCGAAGCTCAGAATCCTCTCCTAGCAAATGAAGAGCAGTGGGAAGACGATGGAATAGATGAAGAGCCACATGGTAAGGCAGCACAAAAAGAAATTAGTTATATCTTGATGCACAGCGACTACTGGATGAGTTACAAGAGCTGGCTAAATCACTAGGCAGCTCCGACTTGATCAATGAAAACTGACTAAAAATAAGCCCGTCTTTGAAGTCAACTTTTTTTTTTTTAAACTTCTCGAGTCATAGCTTTAGACTTGCAAATAAATGGACTGAGAGGTTGTTACTCACAAGTTGCAGAGAGAATTTCAAATTTCCTCAAACTCTGTGAACTGATGTGTAAATACTACTGCATGCTGCAGTTATTGGAGACATGAAATTGTGCCTGCAAAAACAAAAAGACTAAGGTTCTTAAACATTTATTCTCTGAGAGCTTGTGCAAGTATGCATACAAACACCTGTATGCAGAGATGCCTTTAGGAAGCTGTTTTATACTTAGCTTGTTTTGCTTTAGTACAAGAATACAGAAGTTAATTTCATTTTCATGCTTGCACAGATATTTGCTGTCTGATCTATAGAAGACATGCATATATGCCAAGAGCAATTCTAGGTGATACAGCATGTGTGCTCAATAGTTTTTTGAGATATAAATATACTTTTTATGCTATGGACATCCTATCAGGAAGAAAAAAGACTATAGATATCTATTATTTGACTGCTTTGGTTACATGCATGCAAAATGAGTCTGATAATTCATTACCATATTTTTCTCCTCTTGAACGTGAAGGAAAATGAGTCTGATAATTCATTACCATATTTTTCTCCTCTTGAACGTGAGGGGGCTTTCTCATTTAACTCCGGGCTTTGGTGTTTGGAAAATACAATATGTATCAGAATATTAAGGTCAATGTCAAAGCCCCCATTTACCATGTTTTGAAGGTTCAGAAATCTTGTCACTGAATTAAGCAGAGACTCGTGGTTTTCTGTAGTTCAAGGATGTCGTCCACGTTTATTTGGCAATAGCACTGCACTGACTTGGAAGCCATGTTCCTTTTAAAAGATGTTTGATGACGTTGCTCTCCTTCTCCACTTCAAGAATGGTGAAAGTGTAATTAGTTCTCAGGTTACTATAACGAGGGAACCAAGCAAGTGTACTTGGAGAACCAGAAATCACAGCTATATTGTTCAGAGACAGGATTTCCATAGTGACTCTCTTTATTGCCTCTGTTTTCAGGAATTTTGCCAAGAACATTTGCTTTCTGGCATACGCTTTAGTCATGTGTGTACAACCCAGGAGGAAGTCAACAGTCTTGGTTAAAGGGCGTAACAACTTTTGATGTGGGCTTCTGTCGTTGTCCAGTCTCTAGTGAGACTGTATTTGCAATTTTCCAATTATTCCACTGCAAAATAACAACCTGCTTTTTTCTTTACCTACTGGTAGTGCTGTCAAAATGTGCTCCTTAGCATAAGAGGTTCCTTTCAGCTTTAGTTCAGATAAACAGCTTGCTTTAATTAGCATGTGTGTGTTAGAAAAATACCTGTTCCTCCTGATGGTGTGTATATATTGCACCACTGATGCTGTAGCACAAATCAATTTTAAAAGTAAGAGTTAAAAGGGAGAGAATAGGCTGTGCACCTGCGGTGGATGGCTTAGTACTGACCTTAGTACTTCGGTCTATGATCAGTGAGGTTTATTTTTTTCTGTATTGGGTTTGGGGTAAAGATGGAGACTCCAAATGAAGGAATACTCTGGTTAAGGATGTTGTGTCCTTTGTCTCACATGCCAGTGACTTGGAGCTGGAATTGCGCTGTTAGAGCAAACGGCAGGGGACCTGACGTTTATTTCTCTTACTGCCAGGCACATCTTCCTCTCTGCTCTCAGCCTGGACACCTGAATACAGCAAGAGGAAGCCCCGCATGGAGATGTGAAGTAGTTTTCTGCTACAGGATAAATCCATCTCATAGGGCATTTTGCTCAAGCCTCTTGACTGCTGTATCCCCACAGCGCAGATAAGAAATGTCTGTAGAGCAAGAAGCAGGAGGGCTCCTCTCAGCCGTGGTCCCTCTCTCCAGGCTTCTGCAGAAGAGGAGAGAAATGACAAAGAGATAATTTTAAGAAAAAGGAGGGCTGGAGGAGCTTGATGAAGTGTTTCTTTGTGTAACGTTATCCTGCCTAACTGCGTTACTGCAGTCTTTTATCCATCCAGATGCTGCGTGTGCAGAAAGCAGTGCACTTTTAAGGCCCTGTGACCACAAAATCACATAGCTGTTAGGGGAGATCAACACGAAGGGGACTAGGAGACCAGTGAGGAGAGGACAAGTCCCAGTGGCAGCAAGGAGAAGAGGTGGCAGCCCAGGTCCCAAGAGTGTACAGGCCTTTTTCTCAGCAGTCTTAACCATTTTTTTTTTAAGCCAGAGTAAAAGCACTTGCTTCTGATTTAATGTTAATTTGAATTTTTTTTTTCAGAATTTTTAATTCACAGGCATCTCTTAAATCTGTCTAGCCAGGAAGCTGTCTCAAATCACATGCTGGCAGCTCATCAGGTTGTTTTTTTTCAAAAGTATCACGTGTAATGTGATTGAAAGGTCAATCATGAATGGGTCAGTACAGTGAATGCTTTTGGAGCCTGGAATAGCAGAGCCATTGATTTCTGTATTTTGTATGGCAATGTCAGATAGCTTAAATCCATTTTAACAACTTACTAATTTTCCTTTTGACTTGTACAGAAAGCTTCAGTAATCTTTATCAAATTATTTTCATCTTCAAAATTTTCTGTGCCAGCATGTGCTGAGTAGCAGGTGGAAGGGTGATCATCTCTGTGGAGCTCAGGACATGTGATTTGAACTTAACTGCAAACTAGGCAAATTGAACCTACCTAAAGGAGCTCCAAGCCCTGAGGCATCTGCTTGCTTGGCATGGCAGTCCTTCGAGCAGAGAAGTCCTCTGCTGTGTTTGTAGGGGTTGGATTTCTATCTATCAAGGAATTTGAAAAGCTACTTACAGGCCTGAAATGAGCAGAGACTGTTCAGGCAGTCCAGTGTTAAGTTACAGAGTTCAGGAAACCGAGACAAAAGACAAGCTTTGCATCTCTCTGTTTTCATAGAAACAAGAGTTTTTTTATTTTGCAGGTGAAAATGTTTAGGAATAAACTATCATACTAAGCATATGAAATGCATCGATGTGTATTTTTACTGCTGCTGTGTTTGGCAAATGTGATTTCCTGCTACATTAATCTTTAGCGCTTTCACTTCTAGCTGCTCGAAGGGCTTGGGAGAAGTGTGTTGTGACACAAGGGATTTTGTTTTTCTCTCACTGCTGCTTTTCTTTGTCCTATAGCATCGGCAAATGAAGTGCCCTACTAAGAGTTTGCAAATTCTATGTTATAGAAGGAAAGCAGTAAGATTTTGTAACTTAGAGACTGAAATGTTCCATTAAAACTGGAAGATCTTGATTTGTCGTAATGGCTTTAGAGCTTGTGACATGGTTATAAATAAAAGCCAATAATAAAATAATCCCATTTTGAAAAATGGTGTTTGGTTAGCTCTGGCAAGGGTTGCCTATTTTTATTTGGCGTGATTCTTAAAAACATATTCCTGCGCTTACTGAAGAGGGTGAGAAACAGACTTCTCTCTAACTGTTTTGTTTCTCATTGTGTAGATGCCAATGAGGCTTCATCCCTTGCCATAGAAAGGGAGACGTAGCGATTTGAGAATACAACAGCACAAAGCTTGTTCGGAAAGGTCAGTATTTCTTGGTTATCTTAAAAGCAGCATCTCTGCGGGGAATTTGGTAGCTGGGTCATCCTGGCAGATATTGGCTTTACAGCCAGCTCTGTTCATGAGCCACCTGAAGCTCAGAGATGCTCTCAGCGCAGCATCGTGTTGATGCCACTGTGCAGGATCGTGTTTTGCTAGTGGTGCTACGGCTCAGTGTGGCCGCTCAAAGAGAGAACAGTGGCTGGGCCAGGTGCTCGCTCAGTTTACCCGAAAGGTGAAAGGGACAGTTTGTAGGGGAGGATATAAACCTGCAGCTCCTCTGGTGGATGTGGCAGCCACAGCTCTTGCCAGTAAGTTCTACAGTTATCAAAATGAGTTCTGTTCTGTAATTCATGGAAGGGGTGGAAAGGTGGAGATAACTGCCTTGAGGGAAGCTAAAGTTGAGAGTGGCCGTGTTATGAGCTCAGCGCAGCTGGGAGGAAGTGCATGGGACTTGCAGTGTCCTTCTCAGCCATCGTGTTGGTCTAGTTTTTCTTCACCCTAATGAACGGGTACAACACCAGATAATACGTGGTTTGGAGAAGATGCTGCACTATATGCTCGCTATATGCTCACTGATATATGATCTGTCCTGACTGTCATAAAAGTAGGGAGGTACCCACACGTGCAGCAGTGCAGTAAGCTGTAGCCTGCATCCTCCTCGGGCTCTGTGAAAGATTTGTACAGTGAAGTGTCACTGAGCAAGATTTGAGAAGCATCCTCTGCTCTCCCCCTTGCAGGAGCTGGAGTAGTTGGCTGCAGCTTCCCCCTTAATTTATTGGATGTCAGGTAACTCTAAATTGTATGTGGAAGCACTGTAATCCATTGCTCGTTTTCCACGTGGGTAGAGCAGCACAAGATTTTAGTAAATAGGTTACTTGCATGTTTTAGGTGTGTTTGTTTTCTTCCACTGACGGGGAAAAAACAGACAGATGTTTCTGCTGTTGATAACTGGTGAAAACTACAGAATGCCTTTCTACCCAGGGAGTGAAAAAGCAGCATTTTCCCTGTCATTCTACTTGACTTTAAAATAATGGTCAAAGTCAAGGTTATGTGGCCATATATTATAGCTTATAAGGTCAGTGCTTACAATTGCACATTTTTCTTCCTTTAAATTTCAGCTTCCCTCTCAGGAGCCAACCTCCCTTCTCTCTTTGTGGACTTCACTTCTGAGAGTCAGCAAACAAATGGATCTTCAAGATGAGAAAGCATCATGAAGTATCATCTGGTTGGGATCTGCATTCTCAAGTGCTTCTCCAGAAATCCTGCTGCACAGATGTTTTGGGGCTTTATAAGTTTAAGTTATGGAGTGAAAAGAACAATTTTATAGAGTGATTCTGGCCAATCTTCTTTGGCCTGCTCTCTTTATTTTATAAATAATATATATTTTTTATTGAAAATAGTTGAAAAAAATACTGATGTGAGTGCATTTCCAAAGGCCTTTTCATTTTGCAAACATCAGGGACTTGAGCTCTCAGAATTCTTCCAAGCCATAATATTCTTGGGAAACCTATTTATTTTGAGACTGATTCTCCAACCTTCTCTAACAAGTGGCATTTTCTAGTAAGTGTTTAAAGTCCTATCTGAATAAGTTTAACTCAATGAGAGGCAGACTTGCATAAATTTGGGACTAAATTGGTAGGTAATTGTGTGCGTGTTGAATATAAAAGTGCTGAACATGCATAAACATGTGCAGCTGTGTATGGAAATAGAATAGTTAGTCATATTGGCAGTATCAAGATTCAAGAATATTGTGGCCGTTGGTGCTTTTTCCTCGGCGGTGTCATCGCGGTAGCTCCCGAGCTACAGCACCCTGGAGGCCGAATCCTACTTGCAGGTACCTAGCGGGCATTTTAGTGCGGTTTGCGTTAATCCCTAGGGCTAAGGGACAGAATGTGCATAACAAAGAGCGTTGTTACCCCAGGATCAGTGTTTGGTGGGAAATTTTTATGTTTATAGAGTCAGAAAGGAAGGTGTTAATTTGAAATATGAGTTGGAAATGTGCACTGAACACTTAGCTACAACAGTAGCGTTTGGAGCCCACCCTTCAGAGGTGGCTTTAGTCTTGTAATGCCCAAGAGACAACTCATTATCTGAACTAGGTCAGACTTCTGAACTACATGTATTGACTGGGGTTGTGAAGTTGTGTTTGGTTTTGTTTCCTCCCCTTCTCCAATCCCCCTCCCCAACACCAAGAGGTGATCAGATCTTTTTCTATTTATTTGACTCCATTTGCAGTCAAAGGAAAGCAGCATGGACCCGAGAATTTGCTGTCTGTATGATATGCAGTTTTCTAGATCTGAGTCTTCCCACCCCCTCCCGCCCCCGAATGGTTCACATCTGGCAACTCCATCACTCATGTTTGGATTAGATGCATGCTTGAAGTATTAATATACTCCTTTTAAGATCATCTATTACGCTTACCATTTTCTCTCCATGTTTTGTGTTTATTGGCCCTTTGCGTTGACAGTGACTCAGCAGCAGTTGTGCCTGTCGAGACAAATGACCAGGTGAGTATCTGCTCCGTGACAAAGGCCTTGGCACATGCTAGATCTTTTTGCCTCTGTTTACTCCACTGCAGCTACCCGTGTCTCCACTGGTGGCACATTCATGAGGCCAAGGAGTCGTGCACAGATTTTTTGTCCATAAGAGGAGACATTTAATTATGTGATATATAACATGTCTATCTAAAAGGCATGGTTTATGTTAGTATGTAATCTCTGAAATTTATTCTACAACACAGGCAATGTGTTCTACAAAATGTCTATTGCTACAATTTAAATCTTAAGAGATAGGGTCAGTTCTCCCAGCCTTAATGTAGGTTATTTGTCCTGTCCTTGGGCGCTCCCTGGATGTCCCTGCTGCTGAGGCTGCAACTGCTTCTTCCTGGTGATTCTCTGATGGAATGGCTGAAACCATCACAGTTCTGATATAAATCTGTGGTTGGATCTTAGGCTGTGTTTGATGAAGGATGACAGTAGAGTTAATCATCTCATTTCTGCCGAAACAAAAGAGGGGTCTTTAGAGGAAGGTGGCAGTTAAGTGCACTAGGAAATCATAGGAATTTAGCTCCAACTGTTACTTGTGCCTTTTGAAGTGTTATGGTCTCTAAATTTCTACTGTATAAAAACAGGAAGATGATTTGGCAGCTTTCTGTTTCATCCGATCAGCTTGAGTGTTTTTAGGCTGGGAATATCAGAGCTTGTCTGAAGGCATGTGCAGCTGCAGGAGTTTTCTGAGCAGGTTCTTGCATCCTTTCTGCATCCGCTTCTCTTTAGGGCCATTTCATTCTTTCAGGGTTATTTCTTTGGCAAATGGTCAGCAACAAAACTGCCTAAAAGACCTGCAGGTGGTTTGCTGTTTAGCTGCAACACTGTTTAGTTAGTGAATAACATAAATTTTTGTCTTCAGTTGTAGTTATTACTAAAATGTGCATCTTTATGATTATATTTGGAAACAACTTTACACATTTCCGAGTACTTTTAAATGATGCTTTGGCTTTTTTTCTTAGCTTGCATACTGTTATTAAGTAACTTTTATTGTGACTAGGTAGAGCTGATGTTCCATTTTCCTTAAAAGCAGCTCAGCCTGTACCTGCTTATAACAAACGCTTGTCTAGGCAGAAACGACGAACAATTTGATAGCTTCAAAATCACTCCAAGTCTGTATTCACACTGGTCAGATTTTTGAAAGCTTCAAAATGAAACAGAAGAATTGAAAAAGAAACAGAACACTTGCATTGAAATGAAGCAGGACAAAATGTAGAGAAGCTCAGGTATGTCTGAGTGACTGGAGAAGCTCCGTTTTGCTCTTCTGCTTCCTTAGAGGAGAAGTGTCAACACTGTGCCCCGAGCTGTTCTGCGCTGCCTTCCAGAGCAGCAGTCAAGTTGGGCAGGTGTCTCTAAACCACATGATTAATTAAAGCTGAATAAAAAAGGCTGCAATGGAAACAGGCAGTTGGATCTGGGAAAAAACTTAGTATTTCTCAAAATATTGCTATCAAGATCCTCTTGCCTCATGCATTATTGCAGCTGGTGTTTTGAATGTGATTTCAGAGGAGCTAGTAAGACAAATGTAGTTATTTCGGTGAGTCTTCTGGGCCATTAAAAACACTGCCAGCTACAAATCCAGTCAGCATAAACACAATGGTTCTGGCTGCAGCACCTAATTCTCACGGTTTTAAAGCCGGGCTTCAGGTTGGTTTTTCAGTTTCGTTGCTGCAGGTGTAGGTAGGTTTCTACGAGGGTGTTGGAGCTGGGCCGCTCTGTGTGAACCTGCCAAGCAGCCTCCAGGTAGTAACGATGCCCACGGGCAGCTGGGCTGACCAAAAATCTTCCTGTCCGACATCAAACCTTCGCCGGGAACCTTTACTAAAGTGTCGACCATGGTGATGGTGTCCCTGAGATTAAATCAAGGGCTTTGATGCGTGTCCTGCCTTTCCGTGGGCTGTGGGCAGCTCTTGCAGGTGGACGTTGGCACGGGAAGGAGGAATTCCCTCGCGGGGTTTAGCCGCGGTGCTGCCGCCCTCCTCCTGCCCCGGCTGCTGCTCCTCAAAGTCACCGGCCGCTAGCGGAGCCTCCCTCCCTCTGGGCCTGGGTGCCCCTGTGCATTGGGGCACCCTGAACTCTTCAAAATAATGAGGCATCACATTGATGTCTCCATGGGTCGTCTTGTGACAAGCCCTGCCCTTTGCTAGGGGGGCTGTGGAACAACAACAGGGGGGATGTTGGACAAGCGTCGCTGCACTGTGGGGTTTGGTCTGCCCCTTGCTGCTTTATCAGGTGTGTTTTTGGGGTACGACAGGATTGTCCCTTTCAACAGGCAGTAGTACTGTACTTCTAAAATGGGTTCTGCTGGTGGTGTGTGCTGGGATTGCTGAGACCTGGGAAGCTTTCTTTTAGCATAGCAGTAATGAATGTGAGCTTCCTGGAGCTAATTAGAAATAGGAATCAGCAAAATCTAGAGCAGTTAGGCTTTCAAAACTCCGTATCCCGAGGTGGACTGAAAGCGCAACATAGTAGTGGTAGTTACCGATCCTAATGCACGAAGTCTGTAGCAGCACCTGAATGTAAAGCGCCGAGATGCTGCCGCCCGCCGCGGCTCCCTGCGCGGGGAGCAGGGCTGCTGGCCGGGCTCACCAAACCCCAAGGGTTACCTGGTCATTCCTGTGATGCTGCTGGTGCAAAGTTTTGAAATCAATCCATAGTACTTGAAATTACCTTGATTGTTATTGATATTTTTTCCAGTTATATCAGCTTTGTTTTGTTACAGAACACTTGCAAAAATAAACTCATTTTGAAACCATCGGTTAAAGCATTTGCATGGCAGAGTGGCCTTTCTCATTACAAGCACCGGTCTGTCGGGCAGCTTGGCAGGGACGAGTGCTTCAGGGTTGTGACACTGCCCATGTAACTGCTCCTGCTCAAGGCTTTGATTCCTGCTCCGCTGGTTAGCGCGGAGCTCGAACCCGCTGTCAGACCGTTTTGTTGTTTCTCTCCTTTTTACTTCTCACTTTATGCTCTTTCCCCTGAATATGCAGTTAAAATATATCATGTTTCATTTATTTGTGCTGTTTTCTTTGGAGAATAAGAAGGTAAGTAAATGTCATTTTAAAAAGTTGTACAGTGTCTTCCATTTGCAACTGGAATTAATGGTGGCCAGGTTCATGGTTCCTGTCATTGACAGCTTTGTTCAAAGCAGTGGGATGCAGCTTTCTGTGCTGCTTTTATCTTCCCAAAAAAGAATCCCCTTTCTTTGCTTTGCAGCTTCAGTTTGGAATGTAAACTGTGTGAAGTAAAGTTTAAGTTTACATTTCAAATATGAATCTATAAGTTCTTTATGCCTTCATGCCATTATTTGCTTTTTTTCCTATATCAACATAAGAAAACAGCATTTGTAAATACAACAGCATTTGTAAAGCTTTAAGTGGATCACAGCCAGTGTCAAAAATCATGGGAGCTTTGTGTAAAAAAAAAAAAAAAAAAAAGGGGGGGGGGGGGGAGGCGGGGCTCCTTCTTTCTCCTTCTTCCACTTGTGCTTGAGAAGACAGAGTCTTGTACCAGATCCTGGTACCAGGCAGCTTGTATAACAGAGGTATTTTAGTTGATGAACTATTTCAGTTCTTACTGGACTTTGGTTTTTGTATTTCCCTGGAAGCATGGGGAAAATGATCTTTGTCCTCGCTGTCTGCTTTCTAAAATGAAAGCCCTGCATGTGCAGCACCTTCTCGTGGCTTTCCTTTGCAAACGGAAGCGAGATCCTGTGGATTCCGGGCGGTGCTGCTGGGCTGTTCCCTTCCCGAGGATCGGTGCTCCCAGCCCGTGTGTCGGATGCAGATCCTCGTTCACGCATCTGCTGCCCTGCTTATGTAGGGAGCCACCCGCCTTGGTGCCACCGCCGCGGCCTGCGGGGACGAGGAGATTTTACGAGTGCTGTCATGAAAGTCCCTGCGTGAAGAGGTGGGTGCAGCCTCGAGAGCTGCTCGGAGTTAGCCCCGGCCGGGGGAGGCTTTGGCAGAGGCCACATTTGGACCTGTGCGGTTCTTGCTGAGACCTGAAACCTGAGCCCAGCCAGGGCATTCCCTGCGGCCCTGGTGGAACAGGGAGCTTCTATCGCAGCTTCCTTTGTTTGCTGGGAGCATGTAAAACTGGCATTATTTTATGAACTGTTTTGTTTCGGTGTTTTTCAGCTTGGAAAACACCCATTTATAATTGTTTTTTGAAATGAGCCCTTCAAATATTAATTGTAGGAGGCTTGTTATTAACTAATCCTGTTAAGAGTTCAGCTGTTCTCTTGCTTCAAAGTGAACCAAAGTGGTTTCACTCTTTGATGTTCAGTGCTAGGTTTCGATTTGGCAAGAAACTTTGTGTTAGAACAATAAGGGACAGGGCTATTCTTGCACTAGAAAGCTTTGCTGGGGAGCCAAATGCTGCCTCCTAGGCTGGGTCACAGTGACTTTGGCTTTTCCTTTTCACAGCACTGTAAGGAAGGAAGGAATACTCACTTAGTGGGTTCTATGCCAATAAATTATTGGAAATATCAACAGAGATTCCATTTTATAGATTATATTACTGCATTCGATTGCTTGTAGGTAAACCGTAGGACCTGATGTTGCTATTTATAAGTATTTTGAATCTGCATAATTTGCATTAAATAAGTGCTGCTATGTTTGGCTAAGGATGTGATACATCAGAGCTCTATTTTTTAATACTCAATCATTGCTTAAATTAATAAGACATGAATGTTGCAGACAGCCTGTTGGCAACATGTTTTGTCAGGGGCAGGACTCTGCTGTTGCTGGCATTGAGACTTTGGATATCAAATGCGTGGTTTCTACAAGAGTTTTCGATATACTAGTTTTTACTGTTTGACAAATATTGTCTTTAGTACAAATGCTTTGTGTTTCCCTAGCACTTTGGAAGTGTTTATATGGTTTATACAGTTGGATATGTTGTATGTGTTGCTTTGTCTTTTCTATTATTGTTTATACTAGAAAGTCTGCATGGTTTATACTGTACGGCAGGCAAGAAGTGCATTAAAACCATTTTTGGCTAATTTATCAGTTATTGTGATTGGTTATTTTGTGTGAATTAGCTCATGCTCAGGAAAAACTTCAGCTCTGGAAGGAGCCAAAAAAAACCCAGGATTTGCAGAGTCCTGCCCCTGTCTTGGGAGGAGCTGCTGGGGCAGCCCGGCGTTCTCCGCAGGAGGCTTTGGAGGCCCATCTTGCTACGAGGTAGGAGCACGGCACTCGCGATGATATTCTGCATCTCTGCAATTTGTATAATGTGCATGTATTTAAAGAAATAATATATTGTCCCTACAAATTATTTTTTCCTAACTTATAGAAAGACAAGATGCCAGGTAGTTTCTAAGTGTTAGAAACCGTGTGCTGAGCTATAAGAGCACAGAAAGTATATTCATAGATACTGTATTCAAGCATATGGTTATGCCAAATGTGATTTGTACAAGTACTGCATTCAATATTTTGAAAGTCTGCTGCTAATTAGGGCCACATTTGTGCTATGACCTTAAGCTCTGTTGCTCCATGAACAGAGCTCAAACTTGAGTCCAGCTTTTGGCCTTGCTGAAAAACGGTCAGTAACAGTGGGTGATTCAACTGCACAAGTTCTAAGAGGCAGAATTTAACTCCGGTGTGTGCAGAATTTCTGCAGGCTGCACTTCTGTTCTCCAGTTCGAGTTTACAGTGTAATAGGAAGTCTGCTGGGCAGATAAATGCTTCTTTCTTTGGTACCATTGAGCAAGATGACTACAAATATTTTAGGATTTGAAATTAATCCATACAGAGCAAAATTCAGAGGTGCATCCTTGGTTATTGGCCACCATCCAGAGGCTGAAAATGCTGCCAGAAATGTGATGTGGCTGCTAAGAATTGCATGGAGTTTGAAGGGCCTCCATCCTGGAATCGCTGAGTGGCTGTCATGGCTAAACTGGAGCAACACAGGCATTAGCAAGAGAAATTAATAAATGCTTTGACGATTTAGTTTTATTTGCTTTTGCAAGCAGCCACAAAACAGGCTATAGAAGAATAAATAAGTTAAAGCAGAGTGTGTAGCAATTTATACAAGCACAACATTAAGATGATTTTGGTTTGTAATGATTCAGGGTGTTGTGTTACTGCATTTGATTCCATGTTCAAGCAGTAACCAACTAGAAGTAGCACAAGTCAAATATTCCCTCCTCCCCCCCCCCGCCCTTGGCCAAGAAGATTTTTAAATATGCCCTCAACCAACTCTGCTATAAGTAATAAAACGTAGAAAAAAAACCACTTGTAATATCATACAGCCATATCAGTTTGTTCCAAATGTGTCAGTCCGTTCCAAAATACTTCTGTCCGAAGTGTGTTGGTGCAACAGGGTGAACTTCTGTAGTTAATATTGTGATCTCTGGGAATTCCTGGATGATAGATTTGGCACCTTTAGAGACAGGGAAAATGGAATGATTAGTAGTGTACTGCAACAAGACTCAAGGAGAGCCTGTTAACTTCTGATTAGCTTTCTGTATATGAGCCAGCCTCTGTTCTTCCATCTCTGGTTCATGTTTCTGGCTTAGCTTATTGGCTGTGAGAAAAAACTTCAGAAACTTGGTGGCTTGGTTTTTGTTTTAAGCATATATGTACACCTTCAATCTATTCAGAAAAAAAGAATATTTTTGGAAGACCTTGTATGCTTTGAAGCGTTTAGCAGGCAGCCAGTTCAGTTCTGGACTCTGTCATTGTGGTGGCTGACGCACTCGACACGACCGGGGCTGCTCCAGCCCGGAGCACAGGAGGGTTTGCGTGTTCACGAGCCCCCACGCACCGTGGCAGCCCCGGCTGGGGGTATTCGGGAGTTTAGAGGTTTAGTTGCAGTTTGGCTGTTGTTACCGTCCTTCTGCTTTGTGCTGAGCCGCTCCACTGCCCACTCCCACTGGGCTGGTGTCGTTGCTAAAGTTTACAAATTCCGTAGGCAAAGAGAAAATTCCCTCCCGAGCAGAGCTCAGGACAACTCTTGCCCATCATCCAGCGGGTGTGACTAATGTAGCTCTTCCCTGCTAAACGCTCCTGTGCTCTGTGCCCTCATCCCCTACCTCGACTTACCGTGAGGTGTGGAGAAGAGGCTTAGCAGGATGATGACGCTCGGTTGCACGCCGTGTTCTATAAGAACTTTTACTGCCTCAATTACAGTGTTACCGGTGCCTGGAAGGGTAAAAATGGACATTTTTTTTTCCCAGTTAAAGAGATAAACCATTTGAGAAATCAGCATTAACACTGTTGTGGGACTGAGTGACAATATCCTCCTTTTCCAGGGGAAAACTATCACCTTCATATGCATTAATTACACAAAAATTTGGTCTCCTGGTGAGAGTTTCATCTCTGTACTAAAATAACACACTTTGTCAGGTTTTAAGCACTGAAGATGATGAATTTTACTAAAGGCAAGAAATCTCACCTGAAATAATCAAATGGTAATTAAGAGCTCCTTGTACAGACCCAGAATTAAACCTTAAGACTGGAAAACCCCCTCCATCCCGACAAACTCCATACCAAATTGAGATTTTTCTTTTGTTAGTATTAGTTACATTTAATTTTAAAATAAAAGGGCTCAGGATTATAGTACTCATCAAGAAAACACCTTGATGGCCAAAATAGTGTTTGAAGACTTTCCTCATGGCAGAATTTAAAAAAAAATAAAAATAAAAATAAAAAATGTAACTTATACCAAATCTTAAAGCTTCAACTTGAAGCCATGCACAAGTGTTCTGCATTTGTGCTAATGGAGTTTGACTGATGCATATTGTGCCAAAATTTGATATATTCTGTACTATGACACCTAAAGCAAGCCATGAACCTAATACAAGCCCGGGAAATTCAGCAATTTTCTTCTCAATGCAGAACACACAGAGACAGGTCTAACAGGTCTAATAATTGTGTAAGAAACTTACTTAGTATGGGGTACATGAGAAGAACTTTTCTCCTGTAGATGTCTGGAGGGAACTTGGCGTAGTACACTTTGGCTCTCTGCGTCTCTTCGTCGCTCTGTATCAGGATTTTCCCAATGCGGATGGATCTGCAGCAGTCCCGCAAACCCTGCTCCATTGCCTCTCCTCAAGTTGAACCACAAGCAAGACCCAACAAAAAACCGTTACATGCTAAGAAGGGCACAATTACTATATTCCACAATTTAATTGACAGCCACAATACGGTATTAGTGAAGAGTTTTAAAAAGCATATTTTTAGCTTATTAAAAGAATTTCTTTTTTCTTGTGTTTAGATAGAAAATGCTCATCAGTGTCACTTATTTTCTGACTTTTTCCGTTCCCACATACTAGCGTTAAGCAATTTTTTCAAGGAAAAGATGTTAAAGCTTAAATACAAATAATGTAGTAATTCCTGTCTGGTTTGAGAAACATCTTTGAGGGACACTATCATGCAGTAAGTAGCACAGAAAGCTGTGGAGCCACTGGATTTTATATCATACATAGGAAGAATCAAACAGTATTAGACAAAATGACACTGTCTCTACCACTTGAGCAACTTAGCAAAGCTTATTTATCTTTGAGCAGAAAAAGTTAGTGGTAAACAAGAAAGGACAGTAATTCTGGTAGGTCTGCAGATCCTCTAATGTTAAACTGGTGTGAGAGGAAAAGTCAGAGGAAATCCATTGCGGCTATTTGTCTGCTAAAAATGTGAAATGTTACTTGTTCTGTGATCAGGGGCCTAGTGAAGAATGGCAACTGGCAGGTTTTGGTAAAACTTGATTGTGTTTTTAAAATAATGAAGTTGTTCTACAAGTTTCAATAACTTGCCTACCACTTCTCATAATGCTGACTCCGCAGTTTCCCTTTTCAAATTTCACTCCTTCATACTTGTATCCTAGTAGAAGAAAGAAACACCAAATATCAGTGGAGGTGACTGTTCCCTTGTCCCATTTTAATGCCCCTTTAAGGTACTTTTTCCTTTAGGAAAGACTTCAAAAGGCTCTTTTAAAGGAAAAACAAGAGGGTGTTTAATTGATGTCCCTGAGGATAAACACCAGAGAACTGACAGGACATGGCAAGTTCTGCTTCTGAGCCAGGAGCAGGAGAAATTAACTGTGCGGGCGGGATCTGACCAACGCTTGGAGGGAAGGAGTGCAGCCCAGATCAGCAGGAGTTCGTGGTGTTTGCGCGCTCACAGTGCGCTTCCTCTCGGGAGAGCTCCGTGAGGCTCTGTAGCCCTCCTTGGGCACAGGTGCTGGAATGGGAGTGTGCAGACCTAGGGGGTTCCCCAGGGGAAGAATAAATGCAGGAAACTGAAGTCTTTTCATCAAAACAAGCTGTGCTCAGAGAACGAGGTTGAAGACACTTGTTGCCCAGAGCCAGGACAGTGGCCCAGTCCCAAATGTCTCGCAGGTGATATTACTCATGGAGACCTGCAATCAGACTGGGTAATGCAGAAAACCAGTGTCCTCAGTCCCCTCTGAGCTCAAACAGCTCTGCAAGCAAAAGTGAAATCGCAGCCTCTTTAGCGAGGAGCTTGGTAAGTGACTGTCCTTCTCAGCACTTCCCTACATCCAGATAGTTTCACAACTGACCTTTTGCTGTCTGTCTCTTCTATAACCAAAATGTAGGATAAAAACATACAAATGAATTACTGTCAAGGAGCAGACTGGGAGGAGGGTGCAAGTTTAGAGAGCTGCCCTTACCCTGGAGGGAGCAGAAATGCAGCCCTCAAGGGGAGGAGGGCCGAGCTCGCGCGGACGTGTCGTGTCGCGCTGTGGCCCTGGGCACGTGAGCGCTCCTCGGGCAGCCCCTGGGGCACTCCAAGCTTCTGCTACACACCTGCGAGCAACATGTGCAGCTCCACGTGCCTTCACGTGCCTTTACGTTTAACAAGAGCACACCAGAACTACTGCAATGGGTTTCTGGTCTTAACACAGTCCCTTTCTACTTCCTGCTTATCATCACTCCCAGCTGGCCCCTAGCTGTAAACAGAGGCAGATTTAAGCTGACATTGCAAAACTGCTTCTGCTGAGTATTCTTTTCTTAACAGGCACGTGAAATGTCATCAGTTTTAATTGAACATTGTGCTAAGGGTAAGCAAGCTGAGACTGCACATACCTGGGTGAATTCTCAGTGCCATTTTGCAAGGCCGATTTTTAAAACCTTAGTAAGATGACAACTACATGTTTTGCTGAAGCACGTTACACCTTCCAGCCTATAAAACACTGGGAAGTTAAACTGTCAATGTTAAACTGTTCCAGCCTCTTGCAACAGTTTCACATTTTGTAATACTAAGTCTCCAGGTGCAGGCCCGGGCGGCAGAGGCTCCCGCTTACCCGTCGGGGTGGTCACGGTGCACTCCGTGTACGGCAGCTGATTCAGTCCCTCTTCAACCACAAGTCTGATCTGCAAAACCAAAACAGGAATCGGACAACTTCAGTTTTTTTTTTTTAACTATGGAGATAAGACACTAGACGTGTTAGTGATTTTACAAGTGGTGAGTGACCACTTGTGTCGGCTGCTTTTAGCAGCAGTTAGGGGTCACTTTGGACATTCTGGGGGGATGTGTATGTTTTGTCCACAGATTGAACGTTTGCCTTACAAACAAAACTGAGGGGAAGAAGTCCATCAGCAATCCCCCTGAGAAAAGTGAACAAAGCACCAAACTTAACTTTATTTTACTGATAGAAAACACTACAGAGAAAAGGAAAAATCACCACCCAAAACTCTGCTGTCAGCTCAGCCCTGAGTCCATTTCCCTACTGATATTTCTATGCATACTCTGCAGAGGGGCCCAGACCAGCCACCAGAGCTGCAGCAAAGCCCCACAAACTGCTCCCAGACAAGCAAGTCCCTCAGTAAATCTCTTCACGGTCCCATTTGCTTGGCAGGCCCTGCAGCTGGACCAGGCCGGGCAGCTGAGCACGAACCCGCAGGCATCTCCCCTGGAAGATGTGCTGGGAATTCCGGATCGAGGGAAGTTTCTTTCATAGCAAGCCAGAGATTCAAAGCTGGAACCTTCAAAGATGGAACCTATTGAGCAAAAGTCACTCCGCAGGGGCAGAAATGAGGAGGAGCGGGCTAGAAGATTCTTTTATTACTTTCCATTCTGCCCTACTTTGTAGCATGCGTGGAATACTAGGAATCAGCAAAGGTCTCTCTTAAAGTCTCTCCTTTATTATTTGTTTAGCAACTTTTGTACTACAAGACTTTTTAACCTGGATTTCGACTCGTGGAAGCCACATTCAGAGACAGGGTCAGATTAAACCAGTGAAGGGACAGAAATGGTGCAAGTTACATACAAAGGGTGCAAAAGACCAACAAAAGCAGCTCATGTGGTAACGTGACCAACTGTGGCCCGGGTCTGCAGCCACACTGCATATGAGAACCGGCCCTACTGATCAGTCAGGCCCCCCTGTGCTTCACTCACTGCATGTGCTTGGCAGCACCAGGCAATGTATGTCAGGCAGCAAGTTTTAACACCTTCCTCCTCCTCCTCCTCTATATCTAAAAATAGAATTTTCTTCCTCAGTCTTTTCCGGAACACTTTAATCCTGAAGTTGAAGGCACTAGTGTTTCTATCTGGGATAGACAGCTAGTGGAAGGACATCTTCTGACAGAAGCAAACCAAGAAATCCTTGATTTAACTGTATGTTTCTGGAACATTTGAACAGAGAAAAATACGTTTTAAGGTTATTTCACAAAAAGCTAAGAGTCGGTCTGGAAGAAACTAATTTTTCCATGCTATTTATGTGTTAAACAAACTACTATAAAATCATGCACTTTAAAATCCCTCCTGAAGACCTATTCCTGTTGTGACTCTACAAGATACTTCCAAGCAGCTACCACCAAAGCAGCAGCAAGCTAAACTTAGTTTGCGTTTTATCTCTGCAATGGTGTGTATTTTGTTACCCTATAATCACACATTTGTTCTTCTGCTCACCTGCAGCGTCTGTTTGCTAGTTTAATGGAAAACATATATAGGGTCTGAATGTTTCCAAGCTCAGCAGAGACCTAGTCCAGCATGAAATCGTGATTGTTTCTGGCTATGCCTGGTAATAACATAGAGAAAACAGACAGTCCCCTGTTCCAGGTATCGTTTTGCACTATGTTTTCCTACAGAACAGAAGACAGACGAGCAGCCTCTATGGGCAATATCTGCATGACCAGTGAGCAGAAGTGCTTCTGTGAAGAGCAGCTCTTTCACTGCCTGGAATCTTGCAGCAATGAGGGGAAAGGCAGTCAGCACTGGCTCAGGAGGGCCCAGTTGCTCAGGAGAGCGTGCCAGGTGGGTGAGTGAGGCCCTTTGCACTCATTAGCTATCAGAAAGTACGTTCAGGACTGATTAGGAGACTTTTTTTCCTGGTATGTACTGCAATAACCACTGTTTATTTCATTTTTAAAGTGCTAATTGGGAATATTTAGTTCAGAGGTGTTTACAAGAAGGAAAGCTCCCTCCAGAGTGCTGCATGAGAGAGACCTAATACAAGGGAAAGCCAGAATGGGACCAGAAACTCTCACTGTGGAAGGAGTACTAGTGGGAAAGGGGTCTGAAGCCCAGACTGCAGATTGAACCATGTAAAAATGGGGATTCCTGATGTTCATCCCCCTTGGCTCCCTGATTTTTTTTTTGGCATGTTTAACTATGTGAAAAACATAAAATCACAAATAATAGGAAAAATGAAACACAGTTCACCTAGAAATCAGTCGTTCACAGGTTGCAGATGTTTCCTGTGTTGTCACTGCTTGTCAAACAAACTGTAAAGGATATAGGGCTATTTGAATGCTATCTGCCAAGGACTGCAAGCAGAGGGTGAGGCTGGGACTGTGACTTTTTGCACGTCCACTATGAAGTACTCTTAGCAAGGAGGGTACTCCAGCAATTGGTTGACCTTTAATGTTCTTGCAGAATGCGAATGTAAGAAACATGCTCAGGAAGGGAAAAGCCAAGGTGAAGTGGAACAATCTGCTGGTAAAAAGCACTGCAGTCACGGCCTCAGGCTGTGGTCAGGTCCAAGGCAACACTGGACCAGGATCACGGATTGAGACAGGGTCCCTCACTGAAAGCCTGTCTGCCTTAGCAGGTTGTGCTGATCTGACCTCTGCACCAGAGGGGGAAAACACAGTTGTTCCTGTTAATAAATTTAAGTTTACAAACAGGAAACTACTTCTTGTGTGCAAGGCAATAAATGTGTGCGAGTGGGTGTTGTGGGTTTTTTAAGCACGTACTTGAACTGAGATAAATGTTGCATTCCAAAGAGTCTCTTACTAAAATGTTTGAAAACTTTAAATTGCCTTGTCCCTGCTAGTAACTACCATATGGTTAAAAGGAAACTCCCAGTGTGAGTGCCCCCAGAGTTACGAATCTAACACACAGTAAGTGCCAAGAGGCACTTCTGTATGCAATTAGTTTTAACATCTAGACCATAAGAAACCACACAGCTCTGTTCACAAGATCAAAAGTACTGCTTCAAACTAAATCTGAATTATCTCCAGCCCCCGTGCATCTGTTTCCACCCAGTATTCTCCATTACTACTTCTCTTTATCCTGAAGTAGTGATGTTTGATAATAACACAGTTTCTGGAACCCTTTGAGATGAAAGCAGTCTGTAACAAAGAACAGGAATCCCTATACAGAAAGTTGCTTCCTTTGTGTAGGAATATTGCTCTCACCACCATTATTCTACCAAGAAAGACCTAAGAGTTACAAAGTAGAACACCAAGAAGAAGAAATACTTCACCTACCAGACGATCAGCAGAAAACACGAAGTCTCCTCTACTGGCTGTCCTGAAAAAGGTAATAATTTCTATTTTAAATCATGAATAATTGTAAGAACATTGATCATTAAATTCAAGCACAACATATTCTACAGGAAAGTCTCCTGCCATATACTAATTAGTAGTTAGTTATAATACAGTAGTGATAGTTATTGTACAGTGCCTGAAGAGACTTTGCCTCGGGGCCTTCCGCGTGGTGGAGGCGACTGTGCTGCGACCCGACCCGCCGTTCTGCGTGGCCGCGAGGGAGGCAGCGCTGCCCTGCCCGCAGCAAGAGCCCTGCAACGGGCACCGGGCGATCCCGAGCCCTGCAGCCGAGTCAGCCCACAGGCAGGATGCTCCACATCCAACCAAACTCGTTCATACTGGGGCTAGCTTCAGCAGCCTGGGACTGAAACGAGCACAGATAACCGATGAAAATACCTTTTTGCTAAAAATGATGAAAATAGCTTTTTGCTGAAACGGCTGCGTGGCTTTTGGCCTATTCTGAAGAAAGAGAATAAGCTCCCCTCTTCCTGTAACGTACCGAGTAAAGAGACTGTTAAAAGCCTGGCTGTCAAAACCAGGTTCTTAACACCTTGCTTCCACCTCCGGAGAACTCCCACTACACAACAGTAGGACAAATTTGTATTTCAGATTTAGGATCCACCAGTCAAAGCATGCTGGCCTTAAAAATACTCAGAGAAAACATCAGCATCATCTTCACATTGTAAGATTTTAAGTAAAATCTCCTATTTCAGCAAATACCTCTCTCATTTCAAACTAAGATATTCTTGATGTCTCTTTAAGTTCCCATAAAGAGTGTTTTGCATTTAATCCCCAAGTTATTGCAACATCTTACTTTTAGATGAGTGAAAGTCAAGAAGTTTGGCTGCTTATTTCCTGGACAACTGGTAACTTAGCCACACTAAAAAAAAAAAAAATTAAAAAAAAAAACTGTCAGTCTATTCTAATTTCTTTCCTTGTGCTACTAATGCATTATTCATTACTAAAAATGCCACTTGTTTTTCTGCTTTTACTTCTTTCTGGCAATATTCAAGATATTCATAATTTTCTGCCACTTTGATATATAACCAGAAAAATATATTTTTTAAATCTTATGATTGTACAAATTCATTTTGTCTTTTTAAGATTTCTAAAGGAATTCATATTCCCATCTGCGGTGTGTGTGTGTATATATATATCTAATTTTATATATAAAATAGTGAGATAGTAAAGCGTATAGGTAGCACATCCAGATTCTTCTAGATTGTGACATTTCAAAACAGCCGTCTTTAGCGAATGGGTGCTAAGGCAGTGTCCCGACTGCATTTTTGCTTGCAAAATAATACACATTTAGAGTGATCACTATAGTTATTTATATAGATTACTAGGCTCATTATCCAGTTTATCCTTGCAGAGACATGGATGTTTTTATGCACAGTCCATGGAACATCCTTGGTCAGTTCTGTCGCTTTACTGCAGGGACAAAAGGTTACAGAAAACGGTGGCATGCACAGAAATTAGAGATAAAGAAAAATAGTACTGAAAACAACAGACCTCTTGTACACTGACAGCTGGAACGCTGTGAGCAGAACATCATCATACAAGAGGCGTCATAAAAGAATTGCTGGGGCCAGGAAAAAGACTCAGGTGAAAACACTGGAACCGTCCATCTTAAATACTAGATAAGAGTATACAAAGTAATGATTTATGGCATACTAGAAGCTTTATTTTTTTTTCTTAATAAAATAACAAAACAATGTTCAAGGAAGTGACACTTTAAAACCTGAGTGTCACAAGGTATGGAAAACGACATGAAAATTGTATTAAACAATATAAATTAATTTATTTTTGCTTCTGTTCCTGAAAAGACAGAAGCCTTGCTGCTGTGTGCAATAAAAGTCATTAAACAAATCTTAAGAATTGAGAAAAAAAAAGTTTCTTTTTTTTTTTTTTTTTTTTGAAAACGTACCTTGCACAAAGCTGACTGCAAGATTTTATGGGTGTTGGGTACCTGGGTTGTGGGCTGACCTACTTCAGTAAATCCTGTTTCTCTCTCACAGACCAGTGTCTCAAGAGACACCTATGGTGCTGTGAGGGCAAGATGTGGAAAAAAAAAAGGCCACTTTAAACAGAATTTGTGAAAGTTTCCTTTGTAAGGAAACTTGCATACTGAGGGGACTGTTGCCTTGAGAAGGAAATTATATACCTAGGAAACACGGTCATGTTCTGTTTTTTGGGACAAGGAGAAATAAGGGACTTGAGTGTTCTTCATTTTTAGTTCCTGTGCTATGGGAAGCAAAATGTGAAAGTGATTCCACCCTTCCTGCCCACAGAACAGTCATCATTACTCATCACCGATGAGCTATTCACTGTTGAATCATCCTGCTCTGAATGGCAGTCAGGACCGCGTGTCCTACTGCTTTACTATCTTCATTTATATGTTGTTCACTCATTTCCACAGGGAATGAGGAGTCTAAGCAAACAGAACACTATGATCTCACATGAAAGCCACAATAACCCTTAAATACTTACATTTAAATCATGTCTAGTGTTAAATCGTGATTTAAAACGATGCTAGCAACCTGAGCTAGCATGTGCTTCTAGATAGTTAGCATGAGCTACCTATCTAGACTGCAAATTGCCACACTGCTCGATTTCCCTTCTAGATCACTGATCCTCATCCGTGCAGCCCAGAAAGGAATCTATGATACATTCCCTGGAAAGCGGCCTTAGAAGAGCAGGAATTCCTCCTGC